TATCCCCGTTGTACTCTTCATTATGGGACTTTTTTCATTATTGATCGTACATCGTACAGAGGTCAAACTGATCGTACAAATACGATAATTATTGTATTGTAATAAATTCAGCCACCACTAGGGGCCACTGGTGATCTTCCCTATTGCGAATTAACACCTATGCTGCCACCACCTTTAATTCTGACCCGGTCTGGGCCGGGAGGAGCACTCAAAAACTCAAGAGCAAGAATTACAAAAGAATATACCTTTTATTAACAACAATAGCAACTGTATGGCATTGTCTCACTTAAATATCCTGATTACATACACTGGTCATATTATTTAATTAAACCGTGAACACACATTTAAAAGAGAACCTGAGTACTCATTCCAAATTCACAGCAAAAAATAAATAGTGTGCAATCTCATGCAAAGCACACTTAATTAAAAACTCCAAGCATAAATCACATGCCCTATATGTAATAACCAGCACAGGCAATCAACATACAATTAGGGAGGACAGTAATCACCAATGGCTGAGCACAACAACAACACACATAAATCTTATGGAATAAATAAAATAATTTCGAACTTCCCTGTCCACGTCCGACGACACCCTGCTGTCACTGTGAGGACTCCAACTTCCCCTCCGCGACAATGATAGGAAGGTCTCCTTCAAACAGCCTGCTAGGTCCACCTACACTCTCCTCCCTATCTACCTAAATTTCCCCCCACTATCTACCTCCGGGCCAATAAGTGGGACCCCGGTTTTCTTCACGCCGGTGGTGCTAGCCAACCACAAACGCCACGGATCCCCTTCTTTTGTGAACCCAGCAGGCTTAAAAAACACAGCGTATCAGTCTCTTTCACAGTTCATTATCAGACAAAAAGAGCCTCCTCACCTTTCCCCATTTTAAAAGTATCCCAAGTTTGTTCATTGTCCACAGGTGTGCTGAAAAGACATAATTCCTTCCGTGTTTGTCCGTAGCAGTGACGTCACGCACCGTCAATCGAATCATAATCATTACAGTATCTAGTGATGTGTCATTCATGAAAAATTTTGTTCAGTTTTGAACTAATCTTTAATATGACTCGGGAACAACGAGTCGTCTCAGCAAGGGATTCGTTCATTTCGTGTTTCGTACAGGAAACATTTAGTCATTTTTACATTTAGTCATTTAGCAGAAAAGCAGCTTTTATCCAAAGTGACTTACAAATGAGGACAATGGAAGCAATCAAAATTAACAAAAGAGCAATGATATACAAGTGCTATAACAAGTCTCAGTTAGCTTAACGCAGTACACGTAGGAAGGCTTTTTAAAATAATATAATAAATAAAAAGAAAACAGATAGAATAGAAAAAGAATAGAGCAAGCTAGTGTTAGAGATCTTTTTTGCTTTTGTTAATTGTGTAATAAATGAAAAGAAAACAGATAGAATAGAAAAAGAATAGAGCAAGCTAGTGTTAGAGATCTTTTTTGCTTTTGTTAATTGTGTAATAAATGAAAAGAAAACAGATAGAATACAAAAAGATTAGAAAGCAAGTGCTAGTTTAAAAAAAAAAAAAAGCAAGCAAGCAGCAAATGAAAGGGACAAGTTTTTTTTTTTTAGAATAGAATTAGAATAGAGAGCGCTAGAGTTAGAGGGTCAAATAAAGATGGAAGAGATGTGTTTTAGCCGATTACTGAAGATGGCTAAGGACTCAGCTGCTCGGAATGAGTTGTGCAGGTTATTCCACCAGGAGGGAACATTTAATTTAAAAGTCCGTGAAAGTGATTTCGTGCCTCTTTGGGATGGCACAATAATACGCCGTTCACTTGCAGAACGCAAGCTTCTAGA